CAATTGTGGGGTTTCATTTTTTGTTAAAACAGATTTCTTTAGGCCAGTTGCGAAGGGTTGGTAGACGTTTTCAACGTCATTGCCTTAATTGGCTTGAAGGGGACTAATTTTAGGGAACACGCCAACTTTGCCTGTACAGTGTACAAGTTATTTGGAAAGAATAATGGAAGTTCAATTAAGTTTAAATTGATTTTCTTGGTTTTGAAATGAAAGGCTTGCATTATTATTATTTATATTCTTAAAAACTCATAACTATATATATATACGGCTAACATCTTTGCATACTGCGTTTTTAAATTTAAGAAATTCAATTTTTGCCAAATTTTGATTTTGATTTGTTCAAAAATTTCAAAAATTTATTTTCTATGGGACATGGCTCGAACGACTGGGCTGTTGATGCTGATCAAGAATATATATGGTTTATAGGGTCGGAAATGACTCCTTCATTACGTTTTAAGCTTCTGACTTAAATTATATATTTATTTATATTATATTTAATATATTTCTGTGCAAGTTTTATTGCACTTACAAATCTGCATACTGCGTTTGAGGATGCTATTGTCAGTTTTTGACTAAAATCATAAAAACCTGAAAAAAGGTATAAAACAGACGTTTTGTCCAAAAATCATAGTTTTAAGAACTCAACTATGCCAAAATATTATTAATTTTAATTCGGAAAGCTGTTCTATGCTGATTTTTAATAGATTAACAAATCTGCATACTCAGTTTCAATTCAAAAAATTCAATTTGTTGTAAAATTTTGACAATTTTATAAAAATTTTCAATTTTCGGAGAAATTGTAAAAATTTATTTTTCGACCGGACATGGCTAGAACGACTGGGCTGTTGATGTTGATCAAGAATATATATGGTTTATAGGGTCGAAATGACTCCTTCATTACGTTTCAAGCTTCTGACTTAAATAATATTCTTCAAAAAGGTATAGAAACAGACCGTTTTTGCGAAAAATCAAAGTTTTCGGACATCATAATTTAGCCGAAATTGCATTAATTTTAATTCGGGAAGCTTTCTGTGCTAGTTTTTATTGCACTAACAAATCTGCATACTGCTTTGTTGATGCTATTGTCAGTTTTTGACTAAATCATAAAAACCTGAAAAAGGTATAAAAACAATTTGTCAAAAAATCATAGTTTAAAAACTCATAACTAAGCCAAAATATATTATTTTAATTCGGAAAGCTGTTCTATGCTGATTTTTAATAGATTAACAAATCTGCATACTCAGTTTTCAAATTCAAAAATTCAATTTGTTGTAAAATTTGACAATTTAATGATGTAACCCCTTATAAAATTTTCAATTTTCGGAGAAATTGTAAAATGTAAGTAATGCAATAATTTTAAATCTTAATATTATGCTTCCGACTTATTACTTTCCTTGGCCATTTGTCCCTCACTTAAGTCTGCAACACCAGAAACCTTTTATATACCTTTAACAGAGACGCAGGCTAATAATGATGACAAATGCCGCATAGGGATGACCAGTTTTGTTCTAGCTTCATACCAACTCCTCCGACTCCTCTAATACCCGCTCCTAATTCCCTCTTTGACCGCAGAAATGGAATGTGCCGGGCAAACCGCTTTGGGTCGCAACTTCGTCTGGTTTCTGGCTTATTTACAAGAATTTTTCGTTACGTCTCGTTTCGTTCCAGCCTGGCCAAAAACCGCAGGCACCAAAGACAGGAGGCCGCAGGACAGGACGACGCAGGACGCAGGACGATGTAGATAGGATGGCGATGAGGCGAGTGGCACAATAGACAAAGTGTATCAATTATAATACGGGCGCCAGGAACGAACAAACCCAAGGAGAGGGTCAAGGGAGACAGGAAAAGTGTGAGACCAGGAGTCAGGATCTAGGAACAGGATCCAGGGAGTTGGAAACATTGCACAGGAACAAATACATATATTTTTGGCAGCCCATAAGGTAAGTTTCAGTAGTATAACGCTGTTTTAGTCCTTTTAATGCATCCTTTTAATACTTTTTAAATTAAAAAATTAATTAACAAGAAAGGAAGTTAATATTGCGAGGGCTAAGTGTGCAGGATCATGGGTTTTAATGTGAAATCCATCATTTAAAATTTATTTTTCTGTGGGACATGTCTAGATCGATTCAGCTTGATCCTGATCAAGAATATAGGTTCAAAATGATTCCTTCACTGAGTTTAGACTTCTGACTGAATTTACAAACACCCTGAAAAGTTATTTAAATACAGAAAAATCTGAATATGATTTTACAATGACACAAAATTCTTAGCAAAACTTAATGTGAACGATAAGCATACATTTTAAAATTAAATACTATTTGAAGAATCTTCTTTATACAATATAACAACCTAATTGACACCTTAAATGGCTTTAAATATATGGTAATTTTTCTCTGTATAGGCAACCACACGGAGCATGTTGGCAACGACAAGTACAACCACAATTACCTCGGATCCGGGCATTCTCTGTTTTCATCACTGCAACGTAAAAGTTTTCTGCTTCACTTTGCCGCACACTTGTCCCCATTGCAATGCGCCACTGGACGCGGATGTGGACGTCGAGGCGGATGCGGATGCGAATGCGAGTGCGGATACAAAGGCGGAACTAGACAGGAGCGGGCAGAAGCCACGCCTCCTGCTCCTGCCCTTCCGTCTGCCATATCCCTTTGTGCGGGCCACACAGCATCCGTGCGCCATTGTCCTGCGTCCCTCCACCGGCGATTTTCTCAAGTGAGTAACCCCGACAGGATCAGCCACAATGACCAACGGCCAGGATATGCCAGGATATTCGTATATTCACAGCAGCTGCTGACATTCAAATCCATGAACAAATCAAACAAATGCTTTTATTAGTTTCGGACAATGTTCAAACAAATCTGCAGAGAGTTTTGTACCATAAAGTTTTCAAGGATTTTCGAAAGTGAGCCTAGAATTTTGGACAGCCTTTTGTTTGGTTGACTAAACAGAAATTAAATTAAATTTTACTTATCAGAGGGTCTTATTTAAATTGTACATACCTTTGTAATTTAGATAGAATAAATTAGCAGATATTCTTAATACTATATTTCTATATAAAATTCTGAAGATTTTTAAAGTATTAAATCGATTTTAACAAAGCTCAAAATAGTAAAAAGTGAACTCGTACTTCTTCTTCTTGTATCTTCCATACTATTTAAAATTCAAGTTCATAGACCATGGATTTTCCCTACCTGCTATTGAAATCAAGCAATTGAAGCCGACTATTCCAAGCGGCTTCACTCGATTTATTCGAGAACCAGAATCCCGACCAATCTCTGATGGCTAGACCAAAGCAAATTTTGTACGAATTCCCACCAAAATTGCTGTTTTTTTTTGTACATATAGAAAGGGGTTTTGCTGGAATATCTTTCATGGCAGGAATATATATATTTTGATGCGTGGTGTTTCCGCAGCGATTACAGCAACGCCACCGATTTGCATATCGCAGTGACCACATCCGCGGCGACATCGTGGAGTTCGATCGCATTGGTCTGCGGCGGCATCGTCGGGATGATAATCCTCGGGAGTGGCGGCAATCCCTGCTGGTGGGGGATGTACCAGAGCCATGGCATGACTTCTGGGACGAGGTGCTGCAGCAGTGAGTCCCTAATGCCAAAGTGTATAACAAAAAGGGGTGATTCGTTCTGCTTTAATAGGTTATTTTATTAAAATTTCAATATGTTTGTAACATAAAATACAACAAATTAACTTATGCTAAAATAATCTAGTAAATGAAATAATTTAATATATTCCTGGTTGCGTCACCCTGCTGTTAATATGCAAATCCCAAAGCTTTCGTTCCCTTTTGCATTGATAGATTTGTGCCAGTCTGCACGGTGGTCCATTGCCAGTTACACGGAGGAGACCCACAACTGCTATGCATTCGTCCTGGCCTTCCTGCAGCCCTGGCCATGCCCCACTGAGTGAGGCAGCCAGGACAAGACCACTTTCTGTGAACAGCGCATCGTTCCCAGGACAACGACGGCAGGGAAGTATATCTCGCTGTATCGCAAGCTCCGTCGGAGCGGCATTTATGTCCATCGCCAGCAGCCGAGGCATCGGAATAAGCCAAAGGGCCTAGCATCCGCAGCCTCGAATCCTTCTAGTTCCTATGCCCATTCTCCTGATAGCTGCGATGGTGTTGGCAATCACAAGATACCCACAAAAGGATACTCAAGCGGCAGTGTCACAGGAATCACAGGATCTCGCCACGACCCACACTATGCACCATCGAGGAGTAATTAAATGAAATAGCCTCTTTCAGGATTAGAGGTGGGAAATCTATTCAAGATTGTACTTCACGTGTATTTGTTTGTTACAACTCAACCGCACACTAATTGATCTTAAATAAAGTGTATAGTATTTTTCGTATTTATTTATTAAATTTCTACAAGTTTGAAAACAACCAATTTAATGGTTCTTAAAATGTTTATGATTATTTTTTGACATGGATTAGTTAATACATTCGATATATTTCTTTTATAAGATCTATCCGAGATTTTAAAGATGCTACAAATTCAATTTGTATTTAATGTTTATGAAGATATTTTTAAAAATTCATATATTTAAAAAGCTTCAATGATTATTTTCAAATTGTAAAAAATGTACAATTAAGTGTAGCTTCAAATCTGTTTCAGATCATTGACGTTCTATATATTTTTTATGTTTATCCATAATATAGTTAATATATTTTGCTTTTAAATGCACTCTTAATTCTTGGCTTCAGATCGATACGGTTTCTTAATAAGGAATGTTTGCAGGAATAAATTCTTATTTTGGTATTGTCTTGGTATTTTCTCTTTGGAATGATATCTTATGTTTAAGGTAGGACTATTATTTAACGACTCCTCGGGGCTAAATTTTCTCGAACATGTTGTTATAGTTGCCAGGCGGATTATAGTTACACACCACAAATATGGTATTACCCTAAAAATAAAACTTTTATATTAATTTCTAATTTATCTTCATGATTCCAGGATAACTTACCGTTTAGCAAAGCCGACTCCCAGTTCGGTGGAGGACTTCCACACCACCTGAGTGAAGTGTCCTGTGTTGCATTGGAACGAGGGAGAGTGCCATTGATATTTAGAGACTTCTTCGTACCAGGATCGAACTGCATCTGCTCCTCCCAGATTTCCCCGGAGGCCATGTAAATATTCTCGCCATATCCGCTATTTTGACGATGCTGCATGCAATTTCTGGCCAACAAATACTGAACAATTGGGATTGTGAGTTATTTATTTATTTTTTTTTTATTTTATTTTATTTTATTACGTAGGATTATAGTGATCCGCTTACCTTGGCCCATTCAGTGGCCAATTGATTCAGTTTGGGACTAAGTTTTAAAGGCTGGGCCCCATGCATTGCCCGATATTTATTGTGGTATCAAGAACTTCACGCTCGAACTGGAGATTAAAATGAGAATATAGAAATTATTTTGAGACCAATGGTTTAGGGAAAGTTTCTGATAATGAACATTCTTTTGTTGCACTATTTATTTAGTTCAGAACAAAATACAATGGATTTATTTATAGCGTTTATGCTCAATGTCTTCAATTATTTTTTTTTCCTTTTATCACATATTTATAAAGAATTTTTAAACATTTTTAGAAAATGAATAATATTAAATTAAGAACACAATTTTTAAAATAATTGTAAACATTTTACGGATTTCCTCGTTATCCTTACTTGTTGAACACTCATTATTCTTATTTACTGTTTCACACTTGGTTGGAATTCACTTAATTTTATCGTTAATTGCTTCTTAAAATAGTTTATTTAATTAAAAATGTGGGTTGGCACTGGCACTTGTCGTGGAAACTGAAGTCGTCTGGGGCTCAGCAACGGCTTTTATGAGACCTGCCCAGATTTCCTTATCAGTTGATTTTCTGCCAAGCCAACTGGACGGAACTCGGTGAACAGTTGCAATTGTGGGGTTCCGACAAACCGACAAAGGCTGACTAATCTCCGGGCATGACGTGCCGGCAATTTGGGCTCGAAGCTATTTAAAAGAGAGCTAATGTGACGCGAATCATTGCCAATGATAAAACAGCGTAAATATTTGGAATAGGCCTTGGGAGTAGCAGGGAGGTTGCCTAAAAATCGTTAAAAATTCATAAAAATTAAAGCTATTCATAAAACCAAAGAAAACCATAATCTTTTAAAATTACAGAAAATTCCTTCAAGTTCAAGTTCAAGTAGGGGTAGTTATGATATCTTCATTTATGGGGATCTTTTGTGCAGTTTTTAATATGAGTACAGGCTTAAGTTTTAATGCTGACAAAAATATTTGTAGAAAATTTAAATTAATTAGACATAAACATATATATTATGCTGTAATCAGCGCTATTCAAGAAGACCGTGAGCAAATATCAACAGGCGTTTTATTTGTATACTAGACAAACTTGATATGCTCGGGGCGATGGACTTCTTATCACCTTACGTTTTATTATTATCTTTTTGTGAATGTACTTTATTTCTTGTGGGTGTGGCATTGTAAAATAATTAACATTACAGAGAATTAAAGTCCCCATATACATTCATTTGAGTACTAATGAACTTGGCGCCTCCTTTCATGTCATGGCTATCCTTTATGATGATGAGGAGAAAGCGCTGATTTTTAAATAGATTTTAAATAGAGTTTCCTTGATGATTCAGCTTGGCCTGGAGATTGCCACGTCCAGATCCCTGAACCCCATATCCTTGGCTTGGATCGGCTTTTGTGGCTGCCACTCTCGCGCCTGCCTCATTAATGAACGCAATATCCCAGACAGGAGGCAGGGGGGCAGAAAGCGGGCGCTTGGTTATGCAAAACTGTCATGAATCGGGAAAATGTATTACATTCTCGTTGATGATGTTGATGAGCAGCCAGGAGGTTCAGGCAGGGCTTCAGCCGCAGCCTCGACATTTCATCTTGGATAGAGCGCAATACGTGCATATAAATTGTATAATGTCGCCTCGGCCAACTTTGGCGACACGTAATTTCGAAGCAAATAATTTGCCCTTCTCCCGGCCAAAGTTTCGCCACGATTCGCTGCTCTGCCGCCTGCCACCAGGTACCTCCTACCTGCCGCCTCTCAGGGAGTTCCACTTCCTAATGCCCTTGTTTGCCCAACTGGGATCTGGATCAGGTGTCGTTATTGAATTCAACAGTTGAGGCAAGCTTCGATGTAGCTCCCTCAAGGAAGTGACACGGAAACGGACAGGGACAGCTTTGACTTAATGGCATCATAGAGTAACTGCTCAAAATAATAGTGGACGAGTTTACAATTTCCACATAATATACAGAAGCAAAGAGTAGGCTAAATAATATACTATTTCTCTTAACAATGATTAAAATTATGAGTGTAAGCAGATAAATTTAAAAATTAAAGGCAAGGAAGCCATAAATTCTTATTTCGAAAGTTACCTTTTCTTTAATGGTTAATATATTAAAATGTTTTTGTTAAATTATTATTACGCCACAAGCAACTTCCTTTCATTCATTAGTTTGATCCAAGAAACGAAAATGAACGTGAATTCCGCACGTTCTTCGACTTTTTTGTTGACAGATAATAGCTCTAATGAAAGCCATATCCATATTAATATTCTTCCATCTGCTCTGAGTCACGATTGTACATCAAAGTAGGGCAGTGCTTTGCTATATTACCGACCTTCTCTCAGGTATCAACCATGATGGCAATGGGTGGGTGTGACTGGGTGTATTCTGTATGTACTTTTTGCACAACAATTCCCATGAGTCAAATAATGGTGAAATCGGTACCTGGAACTTTACTACCTACTTTCAGGCAATTATATCATAATCACAGTAATTTACAGTGGATATTGCTTATTGTAGAAAGAAATAACTCGTTATTATATACTTTAACTAATCACACATAAAATACCGATTCTTACAAAAAATAAGTACATAAGTAGATTTTAAGAGAGAGTTCTCCTCACTATTTCTTGTATTTATTTAGGAATTAAGATATGAAGGAGTCATTTCCGACCTATAAACCATATATATTCTTGATCAGCATCAACAACCCAGTCGTTCTAGCCATGTCCGGTCGAAAAATAAATTTTTACAATTCTCCGAAATTAAAATTTATAAGGTACATCATAAATTGTCAAAATTTGACAACAAATTGAATTTTTGAATTTGAAAACTGAGTATGCAGATTTGTTAATCTATTAAAAATCAGCATAGAACAGCTTTCCGAATTAAAATTAATAATATTTTGGCTTATTATGAGTTTTAAAACTATGATTTTTGACAAAATTTCTGTTTTATACCTTTTTCAGGTTTTTATGATTTTAGTCAAAAACTGACAATAGCATCAACAAACGCAGTAATGCAGATTGTTAGTGCAATAAAAACTAGCAAAGAAAAGCTTCCCGAATTGAAATTAATGCAATTTTGGCTTAATTATGATGTCCGAAAAACTTTGATTTTCACAAAAATTGTCTGTTTTTATACCTTTTTGAAGACTATATTTAAGTCAGAAGCTTGAAACATATGAAGGAGTCATTTCCGACCCTATAAACCATATATATTCTGATCAACATCAACAGCCCAGTCTTCTAGCCATTCCGGTCGAAAATAAAATTTTTACAATTTCTCCGAAAATTGAAAATTTTATAAGGGTACATCATTAAAATTGTCAAATTTTACACAAATTGAATTTTTGAATTTGAAAACTGAGTATGCAGATTTGTTAATCTATTAAAAAGCATAGAACAGCTTTCCGAATTAAAATTAATAATATTTTGGCTTAGTTATGAGTTTTTAAAACTATGATTTTTTGACAAAATTGTCTGTTTTTATACCTTTTTCAGGTTTTTATGATTTTAGTCAAAAACTGACAATAGCATCAACAAACGCAGTATGCAGATTTGTTAGTGCAATAAAAACTAGCACAGAAAAGCTTCCCGAATTGAAATTAATGCAATTTTGGCTTAATTATGATGTCCGAAAAACTTTGATTTTTCACAAAATTGTCTGTTTTTATACCTTTTTGAAGAATTATTTAAGTCAGAAGCTTGAAACGTAATGAAGGAGTCATTTCCGACCCTATAAACCATATATATTCTTGATCAGCATCAACAGCCCAGTCGTTCTAGCCATGTCCGGTCGAAAAATAAATTTTTACAATTTCTCCGAAAATTGAAAATTTATAAGGGTTACATCATTAAAATTGTCAAAATTTGACAACAAATTGAATTTTTTGAATTTGAAAACTGAGTATGCAGATTTGTTAATCTATTAAAAATCAGCATAGAACAGCTTTCCGAATTAAAATTAATAATATTTTGGCTTAGTTATGAGTTTTTAAAACTATGATTTTTTGACAAAATTGTCTGTTTTTATACCTTTTTCAGGTTTTTATGATTTTAGTCAAAAACTGACAATAGCATCAACAAACGCAGTATGCAGATTTGTTAGTGCAATAAAAACTAGCACAGAAAAGCTTCCCGAATTAAATTAATGCAATTTCGGCTTAATTATGATGTCCGAAAAACTTTGATTTTTCACAAAATGGTCTGTTTTTATACCTTTTTTGCATAATTTAAGTCAGAAGCTTGAATAATGAAGGAGTCATTTCCGACCCTATAAACCATATATATTCTTGATCAGCATCAACAGCCCAGTCGTTCTAGCCATGTCAAAAAAAATTGGTTTTTACAAAAACTGACAATAGGCAGTATGCAGATTTTTAGTGCAATAAAAACTAGCACAGAAAGCTTCCCGAATTGAAATTAATGCAATTTTGGCTTAATTATGATGTCCGAAAAACTTTGATTTTTCACAAAAATTGTCTGTTTTTATACCTTTTTGAAGAATATTATTTAAGTCAGAAGCTTGAAACGTAATGAAGGAGTCATTTCCGACCCTATAAACCATATATATTCTTGATCAGCATCAACAGCCCAGTCGTTCTAGCCATGTCCGGTCGAAAAATAAATTTTTACAATTTCTCCGAAAATTGAAAATTTTATAAGGGGTTACATCATTAAAATTGTCAAAATTTGACAACAAATTGAATTTTTGAATTTGAAAACTGAGTATGCAGATTTGTTAATCTATTAAAATCAGCATAGAACAGCTTTCCGAATTAAAATTAATATATTTGGCTTAGTTATGAGTTTTTAAAACTATGATTTTTTGACAAAATTGTCTGTTTTATACCTTTTTTCAGTTTTTATGATTTTAGTCAAAACTGACATTAACAAACGCAGTATGCAGATTTGTTAGTGCAATAAAAACTAGCACAGAAAGCTTCCCGAATTGAAATTATGCAATTTCGGCTTAATTATGATGTCCGAAAACTTTGATTTTTCACAAAATGGTCTGTTTTTATACCTTTTGAAGAATATTATTTATTCAGAAGCTTGAAACGTAATGAAGGAGTCATTTCGACCCTAAACCATATTATTCTTGATCAGCATCAACAGCCCAGTCGTTCTAGCCATGTCCGGTCGAAAAATAATTTTTACAATTTCTCCGAAAATTGAAAATTTTATAAGGGTTAATCATTAAATTGTCAAAATTTGACAACAAATTGAATTTTTGAATTTGAAAACTGGTATGCAGATTTGTTAATCTATTAAAAATCAGCATAGAACAGCTTCCGAATTAAAATTAATAATATTTGCTTAGTTATGAGTTTTAAAACTATGATTTTTGACAAATTGTCTGTTTTTATACCTTTTTTCAGGTTTTTATGATTTAGTCAAAAACTGACAATAGCATCAACAAACGCAGTATGCAGATTTGTTAGTGCAATAA